CTCCCTCCCTCCCTCCTTCCTTCCTTCCTTCCTTCCTTCCTTCCTTCCCCACCCACCCAACCAACCACCCACTCATCCCAGAGTTCACCTCACACCAGTCACAAGCTGTTAAAGAAGTTCATTGTAAGGACATGCAGAGTTACAGACCAGCAATTGACACTTTGTTCATCTTCCCACCATCAAATTATCCAATTGATAGGAAACAGAGACAAAGGACCCTTCTCTCACAAACACTCCATGCTTTTAGCATGCCAGAGAGAGAGAGAGAGAGAGAGAGAGAGACACAGAACCAGACAGAGGATCAAATGGTCAGCTCCGGAGAATCCGCCCATGCACACTGGGGAACTGGACAACTTTGGCAAAATCTCCACTTTGTAACAACAAGACTGTCTAATGATATTTCATTGTTTCTTATATAGGACAAGTAACACCAAAAGGACTGGTTATCACTAAGGTGTGAATCCTGGCCTCTGTGCCATACATGAACACCCCCCCCACCCTTCCTCTGTCCCTCTCTAGATAAGAGGCATAAACTACAACCCACATTCAAATCCTGGGTAGCAACCAGCTCAACGTTCTGAGGAAGACTATATCATTAAATATAGACTATTAGTTTTAGGAAATGTTTATATTGTTCATTGATCAGTTAACCGCTCGTATTATGATTCATTCCGGGTTTGAAGGATGTAACATGAAATCCGCTCTTGTATTAATCCTACCTGTCATTATCAGTGCCATTAGATTTATGTTATTTCATTTCATGTCTTATAGTCACACTAGAAGACGGATGTGCCAGTTTATACGTAAGCTATACAGTTAAACTGTTCAAAAGTTCCGTGGAAAATGACCCTCTTCTCCGAGTTGAAACATGGGAGAAAACAGGTGACACCCCCGGGGCGTAAAACGGTCGTGATCGATTCACACGCTGCTAGAAGCGAGAGAAGGCTACAACTAGGAAAAAACCATGCAGAAGACTCTAAGCTCTAAGCCGCTACCCGCAAACTCGTGGCTTTTAGCCACAGCTCTTAGCCGTTTCTGCACTTTATCGTTTCTCCACCACCTTTATTTTGTTTTCTGCAATTAACTATGAGCAGCAGGCTCTCGGACACTTAGAAATCACTCCCACTCATTTTTTGTAGCTATAGTAGGTTATTTGCTGTATTTCAACACTTTTATGACCTCCTCAGTACTACAAATAATAATTAGCATTAACACGCCTCCCTTCTCCACAGCTACCTCAAACTTCTGCGCAACATTGCAGGGCTGGAAGCCAAAATTCACTGGTTACAAATGAACGTGGAAGCCGATGGGCTTATATGGGAACGACACTGCCTTACCGTGGACTCAAAACAGTGGACGAGAATGTGCTAACACGCGGCTAATTAGCACCGCCTATAATACATCTACAACTGGTTTAGGGCCAAAATACATTTATGATCCGCTGCTATTTTATGAGCCCTCGTAAGAAATGTTAAAAAGTTATGTTACATTGCTAAGACAGTGTTGTTTTTATATTATGATGATTACTGTTGCTATGCATTAGGGGGCACAAGGGTGAAACTCAAAGCAGTCAGTCACACACACATAGGGAGACACCAGAACAACAGGATGTCATGTAACAACAAACAACTTCTAGCGTGGTTTTTCTCCAGGTGCGGTCGCATCAGAAGAACGAGGCGCTGTGCCGAGAGGCTGGGACCGGCCTGTGCACCGACGAAGGGAGAGCCGAGTCTAAACCACAGCCTCTCCCCGGCTTTTTTGCCAATCAGATAGTTACAAAAATATATACAAAACTCTGTGTAACTGCTAAGATAGACACTCTTCTCTGGGACGTTGGCCACAGCTAACTGCTTGCAGACTGTGGTTTTCAGATCAGAGGAAATCCGTGTACATGCTGATTTTGATTCTTTAATAGCAAATAAATATTGGTTTCGATGCCTAACTTCGACTGGAGAACTCTTATTGCAAATAAACAAATGCGCTGACACCGTCTAGACCGATCAGGTCATCTGGGACAGGTCTGCTTTCTGTCCCCGGTGTAAAAACTAAACACGGAGAAGCAGCGTTCAGTTTTTATGCTCCACACATCTGCAACAAACTCCCAAAAAACCGCACGTCTGCTGCAGCTCTCGGGTCTTTTAAACACTCAGAAGGTCAAAGTTCATGTAGAAATAAGAGCACTCACTCGCTCGCTCGCTCACTCACACACACACACACACACACACACACACACACACACACACACAGACCTCAGATGGTCACTAACAAGTGGCTGGGTGTTCTAAGAATCAGCGCTTGGACGTATACAGTCAATTTAAGGTAAACACAAGAAACTTGTGCTACAGAAAATGGACCAGACTCAGTGAATAGCTTAACATCCTAAGTCCTATGATAACTATTAATTTGGCTACACAGACTAATGGGCAGTGATAACTAACATGTCTTTGGGGTCGTCAGGTGGGAACCTCCTTTCGCCAGTGTTTCGTCTAGACGGTCCCACGACACCTCCAGGAGGCTAGACGGTGATCGCTGGCGTCCCAGAGTCGCTCCCCTAATGCCAGCCATCGCCGCTCCTCACACCGCGACAATTCTCTCCTTTATCTTGCCTACGCTACCACAAACGACGTCATCGACTCGGACAAAACACGTTAGCAGATTCAGCAAACAAACTCCCCTGACTCCCATTTTGAATGAGGGAGGTAGAGTCAAGGAGAGATGCCTTTTTTAAGCTAAACTCTCCCCCGCCGGATTAGGCTGTGCTCTAACTCCCCCACTCTCCAACAACTCACCTAAAACAAATAAACTCACCTAAACAGGCTCACACAGGCCTCATCTGACATGTCCTTTACTATTTTCCTCACGCTCTGTCCACTTCCCCCCAACTCCTTCACTACAAATCCTCTACGTCCTACTTCCGCTGGACAAATCCTAACTTTCCGTTCACGCTCTGCTACCTACCTCGTCCGGTAGTGTGAAGCGACCCGCTCCCGGCGCTCAAAGTCACCGCCGTCTGCGCCTGCTCATCTCGGACCTTCTCCGCGATCCGTGGTCCGTATCTGAAAAGCACAACACGTAGAGTTTTCATCAAGACCAGAGCCGCGGTAAAAAAAGAAGGCCGAGTTACGTTCCGAACCTTAGGTAAGAGTCTCCCCTCCGATTCCCGAGCAGTGGCGTCGACTACTTACGTTGTGTCGGCTAGGTTTCTGTAGCTTCACGTAAGAGTACGTCCGTGCGCACGTCTCAAACTCCCGTCGGTCAGAATCTCTCTCGTTCAAACTAGCTTTACAATAAAGGTCAAATTATTCAGCGACTATACACTTAGAAAAGAAAAGAAAAACAAACCGTTAAAGAGTAATATATCATGTACCGTATTTATGATGATAGTGAAACGTGCGATAGAGTTCAATGTAATGTTATGCGACGCGGGAACTGCTAAAACTAAGTAAAGACAATGAAAATCCAGTCAAGGCAACTCTTCTTTTATTTCTTTATTTATTCAAATTCACCGGTAAAAGCGACACAGACCAAAATTCACATATTTAGGCACAATTTTCCATTTGCTTATGCACCGTTGTCCAAAGTTCAAACATATTTCATCCGCAGTTTCAACACCTAAACTAAATAGAAAAACTGGAACGGACACGGATGGGTGTATAAACATTGACGTTTTGAATATTTGTCTTCTTTTTTGCCACAGAACCTGTATGCCGTGTTCTGCGTTTTGGAATCAACTCCCGCCGTTTAACAAAAAACGCAACCATCCCGAGTAATCAGTAGTCAAACAAATAAATTACAGAGAATATTGACAAACTGACAAAAGAACCTTTCAAAGAATTCTTGTACAAACAAAACAAATCCATGACATCAAATAGTCAAAAAGGAAACAATCAAAAGATAGTTAGTCTGCCAAATTGTGGGAAAAAGTACTACTTCTCTTCTGGACTGCTATTTCTTGCGTTAAAAAGCTGCATTTTCCAAATAACGTAAAAAGACAATAACTTAAACACAAATACATAACCCCGCTGTACGTTACCCTAACTTTGAGTAAATGCCTTGTACGATGAAACCGATAGGATCTTATGTGCCCGATCCTCAGTTTATAACTGTAAAGCCATCAAAAAAATGAGTGAAAAGTGAATATAATTCTGCAACAGAAAGCCTCGACGTTCCAGGAATTATTCCGGCCGAGTCGCAAACAATGATATACCGCGTACGTATGGATATAAGAATAAATGCGCGACGTAAACGTACCGGAATCATCGGATCGTGTTTTGGACCCCTTTTTTTTCCCATTCCCGCGTATCGTAGCCGACGACCGGATGGTTTATCGTTCTGTACGTAGTGCCCTCGTCGTTTCGCGACCGCTCTTACCCAGACTCCGACGCTGCGCGTAAATACAGATGTGATGCGCGTCGCGCTTCTCACATCGGGTACAACAAGTATCCGGCAAACACCGAGTGGACGTATTGACCGGCGTAAAGTCCCGCGGCCTGGTCCGACGGCAGCTGTATGTGCGCGGTGTCTCCTTGCCGTAACGGGAGTACGGCGCTCCCCGAAGCCTGATCCAGCAAGCCCTTTTTGTACTCGTCGTAAGTGTACATCACCGGCTCGTTGTTCTTCATCAGTGCCACCCACACGTTACCTCCTTTGCAGTGGACGTGGTAGGAAAAGTAGTAGACCCCCGGTACGCTACAGGTGAAAACGCCCGTTTGGGGATTGTAATCTTGATTGCCGTTGTGCAGGAGTTTGTCAAAGACTACAGGAGAGCCCACGGGAGGGAACGGATTCGTCAGCTTAGCCGTGAACGCGGGCATCTCCGGACCGTTTCCGCTAATCTCGCCTCCGTTCTTTCTGTAGCCTAGCTTTTGGCCGCCGTACGGGCCGGTCACGGGGAGGATCTGTCCGAGGTCGGGGGATACGGCGGGTAGTCCCGGAGGTCCGGGAGGTCCGGGTTTTCCCGCTTGCCCCGGAAGTCCGGGCGGGCCGCCGGGGCCGGGGTTACCTTGAGGGCCGACGTGACCGGGGGGTCCCCGCTTTCCGTCGCCGGGATAGCCGGGTTTACCGGGCGGGCCCGTCTCGCCTTTTTGTCCCGGTAGCCCGGGAGGTCCGATCGGTCCCCCGGGTCCCGTGAGCCCCGGGATCCCTTGCGGCCCCTGGTGGCCCGTCTCTCCGGGTTGTCCCCCCTCTCCTCTCGGTCCGGGTAATCCCGCCGCGCCGGGGGGACCGGATATACCCCTGACGCCGGCTTCTCCTTTCGGTCCGACGGGCCCTTGTAAACCTCTCTGTCCGGGTTGCCCGCCCTCTCCCGACCTACCCGGCAGTCCCGGAAGGCCCGGGGGCCCCGGTTCGCCCTTTATTCCCGGATTTCCTTTCGGTCCTCCGGCGCCGTACTCTCCCTTTTGCCCCGGGAAGCCCAGACTGCCGGGAGGTCCTATCGGACCCGGCGGGCCGGGCGTACCGCCGGGACCGGTGGGACCCATGACGCCCGGGAGACCTCCGTGACCTTTGTCGCCTTTAGAGCCCGGAGGACCGGGAAGACCGGCGTGTCCCTTGTGACCCTTAGGTCCCGGGAAGCCCGGTTTACCGTAGCCCGGCAATCCCGGACCTCCCGGTAAACCGGGGGGGCCCGGTTCCCCTTTCCCTCCCGAGAGCCCGGGTTGCCCTCTAAAACCGTCTTTCCCCGGTTTTCCCGTTCCCGGCGGTCCCGGCGGTCCCGGATGACCTCTGTCGCCGGGTGAGCCCGCCGGTCCCGGCTCTCCGGGAGGACCGGACTTTCCCGGTATCCCCGGTTGCCCGGGGAGACCGTTGAGGCCGGGCGTACCGACGCCGGGCATGCCCGCGTTCCCGGGCGGACCCGGCGGCCCGCCGGGCCCTTTCAAACCCGGCAGACCGGGTAGACCGAGTCCTTTGTCTCCCCTGGGGCCCGGGAGGCCGGGTATCCCGGGCGGACCTTTTTGACCGGGCTCCCCCAGAGGACCCGGCTGCCCCGGCAGCCCCTGGCCTCCCGATTTCGAAATCCCGGGGAGTCCGGGGGGACCCGGGAGACCCGCCGGCCCGGGGAGTCCGGTCGGTCCTTCGCCGCCGTTAGGACCCAGGTCGCCTTTCGCTCCCGGTAATCCGGGTCCTCCGGGTTTTCCCGGCAATCCCGGCATGCCCGGTTTTCCTATCCCCGGGTAACCTTGAGGACCGGGAGGTCCCGGCTTTCCCGGTGACCCTGGCGTTCCCTGGCCCGGGAGTCCCGGGGGGCCTTGCGGTCCCGGCGGTCCCGTTATTCCGGGGGGGCCTTGGATTCCTTGCGGTCCCTCTCTGAGCCCCTCTCCGCCCGGGCCGGGGGGAGGCGGGCCTTTAGCCCCTCTGGGAAACGTTTGACCTGAGAAAAAGAGAAAACATTTGGTAGACGGGCGTGAATATTGACCCGCTAGATCCATCCGCACTCATCCAGACATCCGTTTATTTAAAACATTCAAGAAAATGTTAAACGTTTGCAGCAATCCTTTCTCACAACAGAGTGAATTAAAACTGAATAATGCAATTTTGAGGCACTTTTGAGCCAAGCCCTCCGTTTCCACTAAATAACGCAACTACGTTCCTTTCTATGCTATCTTACCGTGAGAATTATGGGTTCGGCTTCGTTTAAGGTTAGCCGACGCTAATGTGAAACTTGAAACCGTATATAAATTAGCATTTTATAGTCTTTATTCTGTTTTAACCTGCGACGTGTCAGAGATCGCGAGTCGCCCCCCGTTTATTAACAAAGAAATAAGAAAACAACTTTTCGTCTCTGACGTCAAGGTAAATGCCGTAAATAGATGTCAGTACCTACGTACGTTTACGCTGTAAAAACAACACGAAGCGGGGCGTATCGTAAAAGATGAATATTAGAATTAGGATTGTCTTTTTATCAAACCAACATTAACTCCATTTTCGTGTAACTAGTTGAGCTCACCCTTGCCCTCAGTCAGTGGCCTCTCTTTGCCCATTTGCAAAGGCAGCTGTGGAAGCTCTTTTCCATACTGAGGCACTAATGGCATAAGTGGCATCTCGTTACCCAAAAACTGTTGCTGAGGATACCCGTCATTGTATTGTGGCAGGGGCTGGTGCTGTTGAGGCGGCTGCTTGTGTCCGTAATACGCCCCGCCGTGGGTCGGGCGTAATAAACACAGCTGGAACGCTGTGACGAGTAGAGAGAAAGACTGGAGGGGTACGGCCGCCATTTTTCTGCAGGGGAGAAGAAAACAAAAAGTATAAATGCAGATAAGAATTTATTTTCCGTCCGAGTGCAAGTATCCCAGTATTGGAATTCAAAAAAACCCTATTTCGCGTTTAAAGTCAAAGTAATCGGAGCTGCTTTTGATTACTTTTATTACTTATTACTGCTCGGCATCTTGTGAAAATGTATTTGTTGATTATATTTTGTATTATTAATCTGAATCCGGCAAGTAACTGGTGCCAGAAGTCATCAAATACGACACAGTATAATATAGTAGTATGTGTAGTAAGTGGCTATGTGCGTTTCATGTAGATCCGGAAGAAAATCCATTCTAACGTTAACATAACGGACGGAATAAGGACTTTTATCGTAAAATATGTGTGTGCTCGTTATGAGTCCTGCATCTCTCAAGCTTCACAGCTTCAGTAGGCTACAAAGTCTTTCTGCTATAAAACTGTAGTCCCCGAGCCCGAGCCGGCTGGACAAACGGCGTTCGCGTTAGTTTGTGCTCTTCGTCGAGCGGCCGAATGAAGAAACGGTTTCTGAAGCCGGCCCTCGGGGACTGTGGTCAAACTGAAAAAGTAACAAAAACCCTCTCCTTCCCTGTGTTTACGCACGTGTAAAAGCCTCAGAGTCTCATATCTTTGACGTGAATTATATCGCATACGTTGCTAAAACACATATCCTCGTTAAGATATGTGATATAGCGATGGGTGAATGTATGTTTGTGTGTCCTGAAACGACCGACGAGATCAAAGTTTTTGGAGAGCTGAAACGATGGAAATGAGACATTTTTCCAGACAATTATTTAAAAAAGCAATCTCAGTGGCGTCAGGCTGAAGACGATTACCGCACACGCTTCCTAATCCTTGCGGTTGATCTATGCGCTATGCGACGAGGAAGAAAACCTCAGACAAGGGAAGGTGAATGAGATGATATTGTTGGAAGGACAAAAAAAAAAAAAAAAAACAGGTGGAAATTTTAATCTAAGAATTTCTAAATCTCTGGCCGTGTTGGCCATGTTATATATGAATTTGATATTAACAATACAAGAGAGTATTTGGCTGCACACAGTTTCAAATCAATTGATTTCATTTCATTTGTATTGACTTTGCATCGACGGCCTCCCGCCCTTACTCCTCTCAAACTGAAGGTCGTCGCCCCCTCTTTGGCCTGCGCCTCCTTCGTCCGGTTTCTCCCCTCGCTTCGGGTCGCTTCTCTGGGTCTTTTTCAAGGCATGAGTGGGACGGTGGCCATGCGCGGGATTCCGGCCAGGTGTTAGCTGCTGCTGAGCCCTGCGAAAATATGAACGTCAGGTTCCGTGAATGTCAGGTGGTGACCTTTCGCGGAGGCCTGGGGTTGGTAACGCTAAGCTGCCATCCCCACCTGGTAGACATATTTTGGCCCTGATACGGTTATGCTGAGACACACCCCCTTTCCTTGAGGAATGTAGGGACGGGAGCTATTAAAAATAAATGTAACAGAACTGTAAAATTACAAAAATGGATGTTTGCGGCCTGTCTGAGAGATAGATAGAGATACCGAAACCTCGGGCAAAGAATGTTTTTCTCTACTTATAAAGGTTCTATACATCTGTTTCCGCAAATCTCTTCAAATGCAACAAAAACTGTAATCTGATGCCATAAACAAATCTTCATACGTGATCGCTTTTAATCCGCCGTTACTGGGCGTCGCGCCCGTCTGACTGAATTCGGAGGCCTCCCGAAGCTAAAGATGATCTTTACGATGTATTGATCCGGCACAGCTATGAGACTGAATGCCCCCAAACAGCGAGGTCCGTACGTTTTGTGTAGCTGGCTTCTAATCTTAAAACTACAACCGTAAATTCCTGTGTTAATCGCAATTGATGAAGCCTGCTCTAAGAAAAAATTTTTTTTCTGCGGCGTACTCCTCGATTATGTTTTCATCATTGAAGAAAAACTTACACTTTTGATTGCGCAGAGCTGACAGACTGCCAGGCTTTTAACCGGAACCGAGAGGTATGGCCTCTTTACGCTGGCCCCCGGTATGTTCAAGGATTGATTTGAAGACATTTCTGATTACTTTTTGATTTGTGATTACATTTAAGGTTCTCTGCGGTCTGGCTCTTAATAAATGCCTGTGTATAGTTTGAGATCCTTCGGCAGAGAATCCGTTTTAATCCGTTCCGGAAGCCCAGAGTCCGTGTTCAGGGGCTTTAAACCTTTTCCTAAAACATACTTGGGTTATTTCACTTGACTTTTTCCTCTTTGATTCTTTTATTTTGTGGATTGTGAGAAGCACTTTGTAGTTTTGGTTTTGATCTATAAATAACAATAAAACCGAATAAAGATGCTTATAAAGTATCAGCGGCAGCTGAGTTTCAGTGCCACATACTGATATCGTGACCAGACTTTTTCAAAGGTTGTGCCGAAAGCAATCGTTTGTTAAACGTCTTTTTTCAGATAAAGAACCTGCTCGAGTATTGATCTTCTAAATTGAACATGATGTCACACATGGGGATGTTAAACTGACCGTCTCTGTACTCAAAACCCTTTGCGCTCACACAAAGCAAACTATTCTCTGCAGACAAAAAAGGAACATATGCTTGGCGAGGAAACGAGACGACCTCCGTAAAACAATAAGTCAGCAAAACAAAGAGGACGGGCCGCTGCTTTGAAACACGTGTTCCCTCCGACCTCCGAGGATACGTCGCTCTTTGTGGCTTTCGGAGACGCGGCGGACGAAAACGCGTCCTATCCCGATGACGGGACGAGCCGAGCGAGTGACGGAGCTCGTTTCGGGGGCCGGAAGCAGCTTTTGGCAGAGTTTCATCTGCGGTGACCGAATGTCTTAGAGACGCACGGGGCAGGGTTAAGGACGTTTTCTGTTTCAGCGTAGAACGCACTCAAATGCTTCTCCACCAAAATCTGCTCGCTGTAGTGCTCTGGTCAGACATACATACATGTATCTACCTTTCTATATGGATAGTTTAGATTAGGGAACCATTTACGTTTTCCGGCACAACCGTAAGCTTTCAATTCTCTCTTATCAATCAGCAAACAAAGATTTATGGAGCTATTTAAAGCAAAAGCCCTGTGGAGCTGAAATTCCTTGTAGTATCTGATTTTTCACGGTGCAGCCAATGTTTCTGACAAAATAACTCTTACCAGAATTTGCACCGGAGAGTTCGCTCAACAACCCGAGAGTTTAGTCTGGGATATCGTCAAGGGGCTAGACCTAAAGTGTATGGATTCACACGGTCTTGGAGACTGGGCGGTGTGTCACGATGACTTGAAATTTCAGATTTGTGTGACTCGTTTGACCAAAGTTGCACTTGAAAAGTGATTCCTCCTTTTTTTTTTTTTTTTTTTTTTTTTTTTTTTTTAACTGAATGTGGGCTGTGTAATTTCTCACCGGTTACTTGTTTTACTCGTAAAAGAATAAAATCAGATATGTGTCACTTTGACTTTTTGGAGAGGGAGAACACGGCGCCGTTTCCAGTTACAAAACATCTGCTTAGGACTATTTTTCTTTCTCACGTCCCGGACAAAAATCCCCCTAAATCTAAAATAGAAAAAGTAAACACAATTTGTCTTTTAGACCTGAAATACCAAGTGCTGTAAATCTTACAGTCTGCTTATCGTCCCAGACGGTTCAACTTTCAACACAATCTGTCCGATCTCGGCCTGATCGACCTCTGTGAGCTCGCCTCCCGTCTTCTTCGCTTTCCGCAGAGGGGATATAGAGCATCCTTGGCGGCGTCGTGTCTGTCTGGTTTGAAAAGTGAAAACACCTCCTCAGTGGTGGAAACACAGCTCGCCTCGCAGTCTAAAGGTAACAGAATTCTAACGGAAATTGAAGCCTAAAAACTGCAAACCCTTTCCCTCAGTTGGGGGAAACGTGATTGGATAACTCTCGTATAACTCAAAGGAGACATTTCAGGGACGGGACAGATAAGTGCCCTGTAGAGAGCGTTTGGATCGGATAAAATAATTTATGTTCATTTATCCAGAGAAGCTTTTAAGATTTCTGACACTAGATTTCTGAGCGGCAAGAAAAAGGGTGATGCCAGTTACTCGAGTTGCCTTCTTCGCTGTTTTTTGTTTGGTGTCTTTGATACACGAAGAACACAACACCTCCCGGTCAGTGAGCTTAGTGGGGAATTACAGCTGAACCATCTGAGCAAAAGCACACATGTCACAAACTACAGTGTACAGGGTCTAGACGAGGCGGTGGGGGTTCACGTTATAAAATATGTCTTGATCTCACGTTACTGGCAGCTAGGAAATGCACTGCTATTCAGTGGAGATCTGTTGTTTTGCCAGGTCCTCCACAGTGTTGGATTCAGACTTTGAAATTTGACATTTAAAAGCCTGTTACGATATGAGAAAGAATTGTATAAAATTTGGCCTTTTCATGTGAATTTTGATCCCCCGGCTGGTTTTTAACAGGACTTAGATCTGTGTTTCAACTGCTTACAGACTAGTGCTGCACTGTGTTGTACTTGTTGTATATCCACACGTTCTGTAGCTGTTGTGTTATTGTTGCGTCATGTTACCAAAGGAACAAAAACTATCCCGCTGTACATGTGTAGACGGACAGCTCCGGAATACGAATCTACTCGACTTAACCGAGTCCTCTTTGCGTCTCGACAACAAAGGATCTGTTTTTCAAACAAACTTCTTTCTTATTTTTTTTTTCCCCAACTTTTTCCTTTTCATCTCGTGCGTGAACTCCGCTTTGATGAAAACTCTTCAGACACCTCCGTACCCCTCCCGCTTGATGACAATCCCATGCAACAAAGATTGCTCGCCCCGGAATGGACGCCGGTTCCCTCTGAAACTCTTTGCCAACACTTACAACCGCAGCCGGCCCCGCTTGGTGATGAGCCACAAGTCTTTTATCACCTCCAGCTTGGCTTTGAAAATAATCAAATTTCCATTTCTCCTCTGTGTTCCTCTCCTGACTGATTCCAGATGGGGGACTCTACCGCTCGATAAACAAATGATGAGGAACAGAGGCATGTCATTGCTTACAGATACGGGTGCCAGTCTTAATTGCTTGTGGTCAGGCCTGGCTTTTGTGTTTTAAACAGATCGCAGAGGGTCTTTCTCTTCCAATGAGAGCGGGCGGCAAACGGTGCCGCGGGACCGGGCTAAAGAGAAACTGTCACCGAACCGAAATAAAGACATTACTATCAAAACCGAGTGACTGTTGGTTATTGAGCGGCGTAGGTTCCTCTCATCTATGCGGTGAATGTTTAAAAACAAATCTACTCAGGGGAAAAACTATTAAGGATCCGAGTACAAAAAGTGATAAACGCAATTCTGTTTTTGCTATACAAAGAAAAGAAAAATTCTTAAAATGCAATTTCTGTTTTGTATTACATACAAATATTACAATAGATGAATTTGGCATGTGTTTTTGTTTAAATTGACTTCTTCCTACACTCATTGCAGCTTGGGGTTCAGTATCTTGGCCTATGACACGACACACACACACACACAGGAATGCAACGAACAGCTGACAGAAGTAGCTGAAGCTCCAAGACAACATCTGGGGAATGCACCTGCGTGTGTGCGTGTGCGTGCGTGTGTCTGTCTGTGTCTGTTTGCATGCATGTGTGCGAGAGCTGTTGCTGTGTATTATCTAGCCTTTATAAGAAAAACATCTCTACAGTGATTCTCTTGGCTGACAGTTTCTGCAGGCAAAAGTCACAAGAGACGCCTAAAACTAAAAAACACTGCTGTCCAGAGCTGAAACGATTAGTTGATTAATTTACCGACAGAAAACAGACTGTGATTAATGGTTTCTATCATTTTTTTCTAGAAAAACTGCCATAAATGTCCCATTCCCGGCTTTTGACGTCAAGATTTGCTGCTTCTCTTTGCATGGTAAATATTTCAGGCTATATAATTTACAAGAATTAAACAAAGCAAGCAATTTTTAAACAACTTACTTTCAGATAAAGGGTTGAAAAACTGTTAGTTGCAGCACTTTTTCTATCCTAAAGATGCAGTATAAAATGTCAAGTAAAGGTCTGAGATATATGGATATTTCAAAGCTACAGTCGATGTGAAATAATCGCCTTTTTACCTACAATAACTTCAAAACTTACACGTTCGCATTCCGCTGGCAAATTATAGAGAAAGAAATGAACAATTACAGTGCAATCGAAGCAAGTTATCGATACTTGTATCGATCTTGTTGACTGGTGTTTTCCACCATGTGGGTGGAGAACTAAATGTGCTTCCGGTGGTAAGAAAAGTCTGCTTGCTGGTTGATATACACGCTTTTGTATAATCAGATTTAT